CAGAAACTCTGCAAGGACGTTTATCTGAATGCGCTGGTGAGACGGTTGCGTGGCGATGTGATGAATGCGGTCTAACTGCGGCGACAGGACACCCCGGCAGACGCGGAACTGGACTGGGAGAAGGAGATTCACGACTACGTGAGGCTCAGTCTGCTCTGCACTGGTAGTAATGTGGATGATAAGGTGGGTAACTTTCCAGTTCATCGCATGGTCATGAGGCTTATCGTACTAGACTGACGAACTACCGTTCGTCTACGAGACCGTCAACAGGCTCCTCAAGAACGCCTCATCCACGGGCGAAGCACAAAACGAAGCCGGGACCCACGCAGCGTCACGAAACGCAGCATTTCTGGCGCGTGCCTTCCGCGAAGAGCCGGCGCGTCTAGCATTCCTTTGCCGCTCCTTCATCTTTGAGCGCGCGCGCAGCGAAGTACGGCCTATCCGCATCCCGGAGAAGCCCAAGGAGGCGCACCAACAGAGCGCGAAGCTGCACTGCCTGTACGGCCGACCGATCCTCAACTGTGGGCGCACGCGATCGTCGCGGGTGTATCCGTACGCGTGCTCCAAGGTGTACGACTTGCGGCAGTACACCCCGCGGACGAGATGGGGGCCGTTTATGGACGACGACACGGACCGCGTGGACTGGGAGAAGGTTGAGGCGATTCTGATTGTGCTGGGGAGCAACATACGCTCGCAAAACCTGACGGCCAAGGTGTTTAGTAATCTGTGGGAACGTCCGTTTGTTGGGTCGTGGGCTGGAAGTTACGTGCCTGCTCCGAATCGAGGGATCCAGGACTTGGACTTGAAGGACCCGTACGGTGTTGCTGGGACATGGCTGAGGGTAGGTGGTGGTTCTCACGGGTTGCACGTAACTAACAATCCCAGGTGGTGTGCTTCATTGACTACAACGACTTTTTCGGCTACAACTTTCCCCTCGACGACCAGATGCCGCGGGAGGTCCCCCGGCCAGCTTTGGACGTGGGCGAGGCCACCCGCCTCATAGTTATGAAGATCCACGTCACGGACGTGCAGCCGCCAGGCGAGCAGGACGGCAAAGACCTACCCGTCGTGCACTTTGAGGGCATCTCACGGTCGATTGACGACTCGTGGGACGAGAATGCCAACTCTGACCTCCGAGGTAGGTGCATGTGCTTGGCGTATCGTGCTCGTTGTCATTGTTAATTCTCCTCTAATCAGCAGTGAAAGGCACCGTCCGCCTGACGAAAGAGGGCGAGGTCCGCTGGACCACGTTCTCCATCTTCAGCGGCCACGCCCGATGGCGAAGCGAGGGGATCCAGATCGGCGGCGTCGGCTCCGCGAGAGGCGTCGTAGGGCATTGGTTCGACACGTGCGTATCATCAACCACTGGCAAGATCCAGGCTGACCAGGAGCAGAGACTACGACCCCCACGGCCCCTGCGGGCCCAGCGCGTACTTCAAGGTGTCTGACCGGGCGCCGAATCCCAAGGGCGACGACCAGCAGATCAGCTTTCACGACTTTTTGCCCATCATGGATTTTGAGGCGGACCTGGGCAGCGACGAGGACGACGAGGACTTTGTCGTGGGTGAGTGGGGTGAGGACGAGGAAGACGAGGAGATGGATGTCGAGAACGACAGGGAGGCCCTGGCGCAGGACCTGGCGGCGCTGGCCTCTGCGGACGCCGAAATCATCGACATGTTGCTGAACGGACATCACGTCATTGGCGAATGATAATGCAGTGTACAATTATGGTGTTCTATATTCTGATGAGGGCCCCTGTGGTCTACAACTTGCTGCTCGCAGGCGGGTCCGTGTTGTACTTGTGGTGCTCACACGTAACCAGGATGACGCCGTCGCTCTTCCTCCGCAGGACGCCCTTGAGCTGGCACAGGGTGCGGCCGACCTGGACAATCTCGCACTCGACGATGCACTCTTCCCCACAGGGGGCCGGGCGGAGATAGCTGCAGCTGAGGGTGCGGGAGACACCGAGGAACTGCCAGAAGCCCGGCTTGTCGTTGATGAGGGCCAGCGGGAGGGTGGTGAGGAAGTCGAAGAGCGTCGCAGCGCAGCCGCCGTGCAGATTGCCGCCCCTATTGCAATGGTCCGGCTGGACCGTGAAGGAGAAGGTCGCCGAGGGGTGCGGGCTTGATGCGTCTGTCGAGAGGAGTGTGACGTGGGGCATAATCTCACGCATCCAGTTCTGTGTCTTGTCAGTCTTTGTTGTGAGAGTCATATGTGAGAAGGACGCACCCCGGACTTGAGCTGGCCATTTTCATTCTTCTCGAGCGATATCCATGCTTTGATGCGATCTTCGGGGGTGTCGGCGTCGAAAATAGTCTTGAAATGAGACGGGATGCGGTTAGAGTCTCTGGCCATATTGATAACTTGACCCGTATTGACGAGTGCTAAAGATGCGTGCTCAATGAAGGCTTCAAAATGATTATATAAAATCAATGTGTATTGGTGTCTATTGCGCATTAAGTGAGGTTGTTTATGAAGGAACTCCATTACCATTCCGGGCCCCTGGGCGTCCGTCAGTAGCAACGCCCCGCTAATCGCTGCTGGCTTCCCCGGGTTCTGGGTCCCAGCTTCGGCACGCTAGTGGAAAGTGCCTCGGCAAATCCCATCGGTACCGCCGACTTCCTGCTCCTGACAAACCACCAGTCCATCAGCGAACATGTCGAGATAACAGCCTTCGACACCCGAATCATCACCAATTCAATGAACGACCGAGACCGCCCGCCATGGAGTTCATGACCGCCCTTCGGGGCTCTTTCGACGACCAAAAGCCCTCCCTCTTCGAGCTGATCTCCGAACAGCAGCTCAACTCCCTCCTCCCCCCGACGATCCGATACCTCCTCACGGTCGCGACGCAGCGCTACCCACGGTACCTCCTCCGCGCCCTCAACTCCTTTGACGAGCTGTACGCGCTGTGTATGCTCGTCGTCGAGCGCCACTACCTCAAGACCCGCGGCGGCAGCTTCACGGAACACTTTTACGGCCTCAAGCGCGAGAGGGCCCTGCATGCTGAGATCCCGCGCGCGAGCGCCAGCGCGCCGCACATTGTGCGGGACACGTTGAAGCTGACCACAAAGGATGTGTGGATGAACCTGGCCGTGATGGTCGGGATACCGTACCTCAAGCGCAAGCTCGACGAGGGGTACGAGGTCAACGCGCCCCGCGCGTTGCTGGGCGCGGCGTACACGCAGATGCCGCCGAACCCGACGTGGAAGCAGAGGTTCCTGCACTACTACCGCTGGTTCCTGCGCAATGTCTACCCCAGCGTCAACGCGGCCTACTACTTTGCGCTGCTGTCCTTCAACCTCGCGTACCTGTTTGACAACAGCAAGTACCACAACCCCTTCATGTGGCTTATCAACACCCGCGTGCGGCGGATGACGGGGGCAGACTACCAGGCCATCGACGCCCTGACGAGCGGCGCCCCGGCAAAGGGCGGCGCGCCCCCCGGCTGGCGCTCGCTGTTCTCGCCGCGTGAGATGGGCCCGCGGCTGCTCTCCAGCCTGTCGATGCTGCTGCCGATGAGTATCTTTGCGCTCAAGTTTCTCGAGTGGTGGCACGCGTCCGACTTTGCGAAGCAGCTGTCGCGCAAGGCGACGGAGACGCTGGATCTGCCGCCACCCGTCGTGTCGGGGCTGGCGGGCAAGGGAGGCTCCGCCGAGAAGAGCAAGGGCAAGGAGACTGCTGGTGGCGACGAGGCCGTGGCGGCTGCTGTCCCGGCCGCGGAGACGGCGCCCATTGCCACGCCTTCACTGCTGCCCATCTACACGGTCCCCGCGCCCGAGGACTCTGCGCTGTGTCCGGTGTGCGAAGAGCCGATCGCGACCCCGACGGCGTGCCAAACGGGCATCGTGTACTGCTACTCGTGTATTCACCGATGGGTGGAGGGCATGCACCCCAAGCAGGAAGACTTCATGGCAGACAAGGAGGGCAAGTGGGAGAGCGGGCAGGGACGGTGCGCGGTCACCGGACGACGCGTTCTGGGCGGCACGGAGGGGTTGAGGAGGATCATGGTGTAAGAATAGACGTGGGCCAGCGACCAGTGGGAGAGCATTCTACGAAAGGGATCATTTTAGAGCATCCGGAAAAGGCCGGCGTTTGGGATGTGATGTCAGTTTGTCACATACACATGAGTAATATACCCCCCTTGATCTGACATTCGAGTCTTTTGCGAGTGAGCAGTTGGTGAAGCAAGGGTCTGCTATAAAAAAAAAAAGGACGCCAGCCGGCTTTTGGAATGAATAAACGCGTCCAGGGTGTCTTGGTCTGAACCCACGCCGCCCTCCCTTTCTACGGCTTTTCAGGCGTCCCACTGGCGCCCGATGCTAGCCTCACGAAACACGTATTGGTCTTGTTCGTCCTTGTCGTCAGTCTCTGGAGCCCCAATTCAGAGACACAGTCTCGCACTCGAACGGTGCCAACGCTCACACGTCGATGTCTGAGGCTCTCTTCTCCTGCGAGGAGGCAACTCCCGGCGGTGCGGATGCATTCCACCGGTTCCTTTTTCCTGCTTCAGGCTTGACTTCTTTCAGCCGCCTGAATGGGATAGACTGTATTGAATTCTCTGTTTGGGAGCCAGACTGACCTGGCTTCTCCAGCCCGGACCGAGGGGCGGACGTCATTCGCTGGGAGGGGTCTCCCCGGGCGAGCAGAAGGAGGCTGGGAGGGCTCTTGGGGAGACGGCGCGGGCGCGGCATTCCTTGATGGGATGGAGGGGTGGTGATGTTTCTGTTCCTGAGGGTTGGCGATGGTGATGCGCCATTGTAAGGGATATTGGGCTGGCGATATAAGGATGCCGCCGCGAGGCTGCCCTTTGCGAGGGGAAGACTTATTGGTCTCGTTGCGCTCTCTGTACGAATTCGAACCATCGTCAGTCCTTCGCTGTCTGTCTCGTATCCCACCCTCTCTTGTTTCTCAGTGGCGGTGTCGGTCACTCATACACACTCATTGTTGTTTGAAAAAGGTAGCACATAGGATCAGCGACGAAGGAAAAGAAAGGAAACATGGCGTACAGCCTGTCGCATTCGTACTTTGGCGCCAATTTCGTGTCTGATTTCAACTGGATCAATTATGCAGATCCGTCCAACGGCTTCGTACGGTAATGAAGCCTCTGAAAGACTTCACGAAGACGCCTGCTAAGCCTTCCCCTCAACAGATACCAGACCCAGCCGGACGCACTCGCCAAGGGTCTGTACTCGATCAACCCCGACACGCAGGCCGTGACCCTCGGCGTGGACGACACAAATGTGTACGCACTAAGCGAAGGCCGGCCCAGCGTGAGGCTGGAGAGCAAGCAGGTCTACAACGGCGGTCTCTTCATCGGAGACTTTGCGCATATGCCCCCGTCGGTGTGCGGACTGTGGCCCGCTTGTATGTAGTCGTTACGTGGCGTACCGAGTTGCAAAGCTGACGAGCCGCAGTCTGGATGTACGGGCCCGACTGGCCTGCCAGCGGAGAGATTGACATCATTGAGGGCGCAAACCAGGCGACCGTGAACGTCATCTCCGGACACACGTAAGTCTCGCCGTGGCATCTTCGAGACGGGGCTGACATGGCGTAGAACATCGGGCTGCACCCTGCCCAATAACCCAGCCGTCAGCGGCCAGACCCTTCTCACCGACTGCGAAAGCCCAGGGGTATGCTTCCACAGGTCTGATGAAGTGCTCCCGCTGACCGTGACAGACGACCAACAACGCCGGCTGCAACTATGTTCCCCCCACCTCGGACACGCACACGTATGGAGACCCTTTCAACGCCGTTGGCGGAGGCGTGTACGCGCTGGAGTGGACGGACGATGCCATCAGCGTCTGGCACTGGCCGAGGCAGAGCATTCCCGCCGACATTTTGTCCAAGAAGCCCGATCCGTCCGGGTGGGGTTTGCCGACTGCGCTGTTCGGGACGTCGACCTGCGAGGTTGACAAGTACTTTAAGGATATGAGCATAGTGATCCAGACGGTGAGGAGACGCGTGAACATGGCTGCTGAGTGTTGAGGCTGACTGTGTAGAACTTTTGCGGTGACTACGCCGGCAACATCTGGGGCCAAGCCAGTGACACTTGCAACCAGGTCGCCCCTACATGCAACGAATACGTCGCGAACAACCCCAGTGCATTCACGAGCGCGTAAGTCATAGCTGCCACTCGCAAGACCGGAGACTGACGGGTGCAGGTACTGGGAGGTCAACTACATTGACGTCTACCAGCTGGGCCTGGGCAACACTACAACCAGCACCCCTGAGCCGACGACGACGACGACCGTCAAGACCACGTCCACCGTCTTCACGACGGTACCAAACCCCGCAACCATGAGCCACAACAACACAGCGATCATCTCAACCACTCTCCCCTCTGCTGCGGTCTCCACGGCCCCGCCGAGCCCGTCGACCGATCCGCTCGTCCCTGAGCGCGAGCCGGCGACCATTGACGGATACGCTTTCCTGGGCTGTTTCGGCTCGGCAACAGGCTTCAGCACGTTCACAGCAAAGGCGTCGGCGACGGATATGACGCTGCAAAAGTGTGTTGATCTGTGCACGCCGAGCAAGTATGCTGGTGTCCACGACAAGTACGTGCCCCTTTCCCAGATGAATGTGTCTGCTGCTGACAGAATGTAAAGCGAGTGCTTCTGCGCAGACGAGCTCGATCCCAGTACTAGAGCCGAGGCCGAACGCGCACGCTGCAACATCCCTTGCCCTGGGAACAGCACACAGTTCTGCGGCGGAAACGCGAATGTCTCACCAGCCCCGTCCCGTCTTATGTTCCTTCATCGTCGCGCCGCGCCGGCCAACTACCTTCTCACCGTCTACGGCCGCGTCAGCGACCAGACGCCTCCCCCGGCGCCACCTCTGGGCGACCCCGAACCTCATGTCCCGTCGACCTCGACCGTGGTGACAACCGTGACCTACACCACTGTTGTCGACGGCTCAATGGCGCCCACTGAACACGTGACGACCATCCTCGTCCCCGGCTGCAACAAGTACTGCGCCGGAGACGGGCAGCCAAATGCCATCATCGTGCCAATGACCACCACGGTGGTATCCTGTAATGCCTGCGGCGCTCACGGGGAAAACCAGGCCACCATCACCATCCCGCTGCAAATGGCGGCAGCACCGGTCACCACGGCCGCGACAGGATACTATCCCACCGCCAGCCCAGTGACGACACCACCTCCCGCTGGAGGAGCTGGGGGAGCCGGAGGATCGCCAGGGAGTGGAGGCGCACCTGGAAGCGGAAGCACACCTCAGCCGTCGATGGTGCCGATCAACTCGGCGCCAGGCCGGCACCTCGGCTGGTCTGCGTGCGTGGGAGTCGCATTCGGGGCGATCTGCTCCGTGCTGATGTTTGTTTAATAATACGGCATCATCGTCGGACGGGTGGGGCTGGTCCCGGTGCATTTGGCGGAGCATTTGGATTTCTTTTGAGGCTTTTTACTATACCACGTTCATTAGCATAGACATCACCATGATACCACACCAGCGCAACGGGCGCACGTACTGCTAGAATACAACGCACAACAAACATATCTGTCACAGATCTACCACCTCCACCGGATTCCCTAGTCGTCCCGTGTTGCCGTACATCTGCGCCGCGTTCACCATGAGGCTGCTGGTGTTGCCGCCGGGCCCAATCATGAGCCATTTCCATATCACGCCGTGTATGCCGTAGCCAAGCACACGCAGAGCGCCCAGCCAACCGGAGTGCGGGAAGAAGTCACGCACAAGTCCCCGCGGAGGCTGGGCGATGAGGTTCTCGTAGGCTCGCTGGCAGTCGTCAAAGTGTACCGTCTGGCGGCCATGCCCCCAGTGTACGTGGCCAAAGACGTGCAGTTTGGGGCGCACTCGCCATACCTCCTCCAAAAGACCGGCGCAGCCTAGGCCAAGGTCCAGGTGGTGTTTCTGCTACTTGTCAGAGGGAGCAAGACCGACAGAGAAGGCGACATACTGGGGGAGCGTGCGTGATGAGAATGTCAGTGTCAATTGGAACAGTGTTCGCCCACGGCGGCGAGGCGCGGTCGTATTGGAAGGCCATCTCGGGGCCGCCACACGCGGGGATATCGGGAGACCCGTAGATCTTGAGGCGGCGGCCGCCCTTGAACTCCAGCGTCACGGCATCGTGGACCAGGTAGCGGATGCCCTTGAAGTCGAGCGTCTTGCCACGGTCCTCGGGGCGGCGGGCACTCAGGTCGAAGAAGCTGTCGTGGTTGCCGCAGACGAGGATCTTGTGCTGGTGGGGGAAAGAGGCGAGCCAGTCGAGCTGCGCCTGAATGTCGTCTGCCGTGCCAGCATTGGTGAGGTCTCCCGCGTGAATGAGCAGGTCTCCCGGGGGTACGCGGACGTTTATTTGGTCGTGGGTATCGGAGAGGCAGACGACGCGGATGGCGGGCTTGTCGCGGGGCGGTCTAAAGGGGCGGCCGCGGAGGAAGAGGAGAATGCTATATATTATCGTGACGAGCAGGTGGAGAGGGGAAATGAGGAGGGAGTCGAGGAGTGTTGGGGGCTCCCAGTCGTTTTTGCGGCGAAGGCCGAGGGCTGTGAGGAGAGTCATCTGAGGCGACGGGCTGTTCTGCAGCTTCAGATGCCTTGCCTGGGTGTCGGGAGGTGATTGATTGGGGTTATACGGGATCCATGCGGGTGCGTGCTGTGCTGCGGAAAGGACTGAGGTGAGGCATACGGTGAGAATGAGGTTGAGATCTTCACATGGGACGAGGAGCTCCCAGCAGCTGCCCGAGCTGAAACCCCACCGATGACAGCACCACCACCACCACCACTCCATGGTTTTAGCATGGCAGCCGTTCGTCGCATAGCGAGGAGGGGTATGGAAGTCTGCAGGGACTAGTAGCTTAAAACCCTCTTTTTTTCTATGGCTACGGCTGGTATGCGTGCGTATAGTAGTGCCCTCGCTTAAATAAATATATCTGATTAGTTGATTACGTATATAGACCTCCTTAGTAGTTATTTATAAATCTCCTACTTATACTAGTTTCTACTTTTTTTCTTCCCTTATTAAAATAATAATCTAGTAAGTGAATATTTATATATATTACTATATAATATAACCCTATTTTTTATATATTTTCTCTCTATTATTCTTATATCTCTATTATACTTTTATATATTATTAATATATATTTTAGTATAGTACTAATATATCTTTATTAGTCCTTAATAAGGTTAGTAATATAGTATTACTAGTTAAAATTTTAATTATATTCCTATTTAATCTTATTTATAACTATAAAAGCCTTAGTTTAACTAAGTACTTACTTATCTATAAGTATATACTTCTATTTATAATTATTTAGAGTAATTTAGTTAATTATATATCTAGATAGTTTTAAGTATATTTTTAAGGCTATTTTTAGCTATTATAACTTTAATAATATAAGTATATATTCTATCTCTACCCTCTTTTTTATTATATATTTACTAATATTTCTATATATAGCTTAAAAACTTTATCTACTTTTATTTAATCTTTTTAAACTTAAATAATACCTATATATTCTTATCTTTTAAGTTAAGCTAGTTATAAGTAGCTAATAGGGTATAGATATATATATATAGTAATATATATAAAAGCTATATAAGATATTATTACTATAATAAGAGATATAGTCTTTATTAGAAGTATATATCCTTTAGTATAAGCTTTTATACTAACTATCTTTATAATAATAAGGGAACTAACTATACTTTTATTCTTAGTAATATTTCTTCTTATATAACTATATATAATACTTATTAATATATATATAGGTATAAGTACTCCTATTAGTACCTCTAAGAAGTATAAGTATATAGCTTTAATTATTTTTATTATTAAGCCTACTTAGCCTACTTAGTAGTTTACTTAAGTTATATAGCTTTCTATAGACTTAGATAATAATATTTTTAATAATAAGGATACTAATAAGGTTATATAATTACTTTTCTATTTAATTAAGCTTAAAACCTTCTGTTATTTTATAAAGGACTTTATATACTTTATTAATATTATTAATTAGGATACTAAAGGTATATATACCTCTATATATTATTAATTACTACTTACTAATATTTATATAGCTCTAAAGGCTACTTCTTAATCCTAGCCTACTTAGAACTAATAAGCTATATTATTATATTAGCTAATATATATATATATATAACTTCTTCTTCTTAGTATAAAGTTTATTAGTTTAGGGTTTTAGTTTATAATAGTATATATAGGTTAATATTAGTAGTATATAGGTCTATATAAGTTAGCTAAAAGGTCCTTTTATATATATTAAAGTATACTACTATATATATTAATATAAGGTAGAGTAAGGTTTTTCTTTCTATAGAATAATTAATTATATTTACTTATTATACTATACTTATATATATACTTAATTTATAATAGTTTAACTATAAAAAGATCTAATACCTCTTTATATAGAGATCCTTAAAAAGCTTATAGATTAATAGCTATATTATATAATAATTAATTAGTTATTTAAGGTATATAAAATTAAAATCTCTTTTATAACCTTTAAATAATACTTTATATAATAAAATATTTATTATGAAATTTATTTAATATTTACTGAGGATTTATTTTACTAAATATAATCCCTCTTTTTTAAGTAATAACTTATAGATAAATAAATCTTTTAAATACTTATATTAGAGGGGTTTATAATCTTAATAAGAGGTTTATAAACCTTATAATAATAGAATAGAATATTATAGTATTAGAATCTAGAATAACTTACTCTTATACGCTCTTATATAGTTATTTTCTTTTAAAGTATACTCTTAGAAGTATATATAATAAGAGGGTATAGCTATAAATACCTCTATATATATATATACTAATAAGGCTATATTATTAGCTACTATATTTTATATAATACTTATTATAAGGTCTTTCTTAATGAAGTATCTAATTATTTAAAAGAGATAAGATACTAATAGAAGGGATAGATAATACTTAGGCTAAATTTTATCTAGTTACTTAATATATATAATAAATTACTTTTATATAGTTTTGAGATTTATATAGGTATTAATATATATTTCTAATATATTATATAGTTTTATATTAGTATCTCTATATATATATTATAGAATATTATAGCTTAGTACTTTAGTGTATTAAACTAATATAACTATATACTATTTATTATTCGTTCTAATTAAGGTATTAAAATAACTCTAATTATAGAGATCTAGTGGTATCTATTATAATCCTATATAAAGGGGTATTAGGGTGAAATAATACTAATTAAGTTTTAAGATTATTAGATCTTTAGTAAAAATATCTATAATATTAAGATTAAGAGCTAATAAAATTATTTATATTAGAGCTAATCTACTTTTTAATAAGTAAGTACTTTAAAAGCTATATCTTATTATATATTTATATATATTCTTATTTTAGGAGTATCTTAGGCGTTTATAGATATATAAGCTTTTTAACTCTTAGTTTATTTTTAATTAGATTACTCTACTTTTTATCTTTATATTAATAATCTATATAGATTTTATAATATTTATATAGGTTTAGAATACTTATTATATTTATTTATAGAAAAACTAACTTTATATAGTTAATAGTTAGCCTTAATATTTATACTATTAGCTAGACTTTTAGATTATATAAGATTATACTTAGTTAATTAACTAAGAATAGTTTAAGGAGATTAAAAACGCCTTAAATTATTAGGGTATAGATTTTAATAACTACTTTCTTACTTATATTATCTAGTTATATAAGGATATTATAGTAATAATATTACTAATACCTAAAAAGGCTATATTTAGGGATATTAATATAGAATACTTTAGATTTATATAGTACTCCTTTTTATAGGAACGTTTAAAGTACTATTAGCTTAATAAGTAATAGCTAGAGCTTAGATTACTTAATATACCTTATAGTAGAGTATTATAGCTAAAAGAATACTTATAATAATAGGGGATTAATATTAATAATTTAATACTTATTAAGCTTAAAAGTAAACTAAATAATAAAGAAGTAAATTAAAGTAAATAACTAAATATAAAGCTATTAAGCTTTATATAAGAAGGGAAGGTTTTTTTTAATATTTATTTATATACTTTATTTAGTTATTTCTTCTCCTCTATTTATATTTTTAATTATACTATAAAGATTATTTTACTTCTCCTCTTTTATAGTAATATTACTATTTATATTATTAAAGATAGAATAAGACTATTTATAAGTAATAGAGGGTATTAAGAGTTATTCTTCTTAAGTTTTAATAGAAAGTTTATAAATAACTTTAGTTTAAGATTATATAGAGGGTATTTTTAAACCTTTAATTTTAATTAGAGGTATATATCTCTATTTAGTTTTAATTAAT